ACACATAATCTTGCCTTACTTTTAAGTATTTTGGATATTCTGGGTGGTTGAAATTTGAGTAAGTGATCTCAAGGAGTTCCGTTTTCACTATGAAAAAGATTTTTGTTGCTGCTGTTTTTAAAGAAAAGATAAGAAAAAGAAAAACTGGAATGATGATGGGAATCATTGTTTGTTTTAGTTAAGCACAAGAGCAGGACGATCAGGTAGAGAAGAGTGGCAGTTTCCCCATATGAGTGTAAGAAAAGCAAAAAAAAGCTTTCCAGCTACACCATCTTCAGCCAGCCCATAAATCTCTCTCACTCTTACAAAGTGCTATGATTTGAATATTTGTCCTTTCTAAAACTCATGTTGAAATTTAATTCCCATTGTGACAGTATTGGGAGATAGGACCTTTAAGAGGTATTTAGGAGGCTCTGTCCTTACAAAGGGACTAATGTCCTTATCTTGTTATCTGGGGAGTAGTTCACCCCTCTTGTGAGCAGGTGCATACATGTGTTCCATCTATCCTTTCCTCCCTTCCTCCCTGCCTCCCTCCTCCCTCCTCCCTCTCTCTCTCTCTCTCTCTCTCTCTTTGCCCTCCAACCATGTGATGATGCAGCAAGAAGGCCTCACCAGCAATTGGCACTGGGAAAGGGAAAAAACTTTTTATCTGAGGAATGTGAACCCAGAGAGGCATTGAAAATACAACAGGAGGCTGGTCCAAGTGCAGTGGTATTTACAACTAATTGATCAAAAATCAGTTACAGATTCCTTTGTTCCTTCTCTACTCACACTGCTTCACTTGACTAGCCTAAAAAATAAATAAATAGATAAATAAAAATTAAAAAATAAAATACAAAGTAGTCAAGTCTCATTCCCCATTGAACTAAGTAATTACCTCTTGAAACCACTTGCTGTGTGGGCTCTAGATTAACTGAGGCCAAGTAGCCATAAAATGCCACATGCTGGACACCACAACTCATACCCTATAGTTCAACAATGGATAGTCAATCACCAATCAATGGTATCTCTGTAAATCAATGAGAATTCCTGATGAACAACTTTGTGTTAGCCCACTCCTTGTTCCCTTTGCCTTTACAAATCTACTTGGGCCAGGCATGGTGGCTCATGCCTATAATACCAGCACTCTGGGAGGCCAAGATGGGAGGATTGCTTGAGGTCAGGAGTTCGAGATCAGCCTGGGCAACATAGTGAAAACCATCTGTACAAAAACTTTAAAAATTAGCTGGGCATGGTGACATGCGCCTATAGTACTATCTACTTGGGAGGCTGAGCCAAGAGGATTGCGTGAGACCAGGATTTCAAGGCTGCACTGAGCTATGATTGTACCACCGTATTCCACTGTGAGTGACAGAGTGAGACCCTATCACTAAAAAAACAAAAACAAAAAAACAACAAAAAACAAAAACCACACAAAAACCTCCTTATAAAATAAGGCTGGTAGAGAAGAGCACTCCCCAAGCAACTTGGAAGCATGTCCCAAGCAGCTGTCCTTAACATTGGCCCAAATAAACTCTTTAAATTATATTTTGCGGCCAGGTGTGGTGGCTCACGCCTGTAATCCTAGTACTCGGGGAGGCCGAGGCGAGTGGATTGCTCAAGGTCAGGAGTTCAAAACCAGCCTGAGCAAGAGCGAGACCCCCGTCTCTACTATAAATAGAAAGAAATTGGCCATTATATATATATATATAAAATATACATATATATAAAAAATTAGCCAGGCATGGTGGCGCATGCCTGTAGTCCCAGCTACTTGGGAGGCTGAGGCAACAGGATTGTTTGAGCCCAGGAGTTTGAGGTTGCTGTGAACTAGGCTGACGCCACGGCACTCACTCTAGCCTGGGCAACAAAGCGAGACTCTGTCTCAAAAAAATAAATAAAAATTAAAAATAAATAAATTATATTTTGTGTCTCAGCTTCTTCCTTTTAGGTCAATAGCTCCTTGAATTGGAACTCCCAGCCTCCAAAACTGTGAGCCAATAAATTTTTGTTCATTGTAAGTTACCCAGTCTGGGGTATTCTGTTACAGCAGCACAAACAGACTAAGACACGAAGCCACGGATATGTAACTGCCCCTCTATTCCTCTTCTATATTTGCTATATCCACCATGTTTAGTTTTGAAATTACTTCTTTCTTTTTGACAACCTCCCTTGATATGTGGATATTTCCTCAGGAGAGGTAAAGAAAAAAAAGAATGTAATACTCTTCTACTCATCCCGATTAGTGTCCTGGGGGTACCTACAAACATGCATAAGCTGCAACAGCTGTGTGTGAGAAGGATGATCTGTGAGGCTGGAGGCTGGGAGGACACAAGCTTTGGAGTCAAAATCCATTTGGGTCTGAATCACACCTCCACCAGCCACTGCTACATGTATCTTTGTACCTGCTAGACAGACACATTCTGTCAGCACAAGGAGGCTCCTCTAACTTCCTGGCCCTAACATCTCCAGTTAGCGAGGCTTAAAATCTGAATATTTTGAATTTGTTCTCACCACATTGTCCTATAATTCCATTCCCTGAATGTTTGATTCCTGGCTCTGACACATACTAGTTGTGTAACTGTGGGTAAGTTACTTAATCACTGATTTTCAGTCTTATCATATGAAAACAGTATGTATCTCACAGGTTTATTGTGAAAATTAAATAATCTATTGAAGGCCGAGCATAGTAGCTCACTCCTGTAATCCTAGAACTTTGGGAGGCTGAGGTGGGAAGATTGCTTGAGGCCAGGAGTTTGAGACCAGCCTGGGCAATATAGCAACAAAAAATAGAAAAATTAGCTGGCTGTGGTGGCACATGCCTATAGTCCGAGCTACTTGAGAGGCTGAGGCAGGAGGACTGCTTAAGCCCAGGAGTTTGATGCTGCAGTGGACTATAACGCTACTGCTCTCATGCCCAGGTAACAGAGTGACTCTGTCTCCAAAAATAAATAAATAAATAAATAAATACACACATAATTTATTACACATTAGAGCAGTATTTATAAATGTTAGCTATCATCATTGTTACTGTTCTCCCTTCACCCTTAGAATATAGGGCCCTACCTAGAATTTAGGACTTCTAATGGTCTACCAAACAGAAGTCATGTAAAAAAGGAAGACTAAACTGCAAGAATCTATTGATTCAGGCCGGGCGCGGTGGCTCACGCCTGTAATCCTAGCTCTTGGGAGGCCGAGGCGGGCGGATTGCTCAAGGTCAGGAGTTCAAAACCAGCCTGAGCGAGACCCCGTCTCTACTATAAACAGAAAGAAATTAATTGGCCAACTGATATATATATATAAAAAATTAGCCGGGCATAGTGGCACATGCCTGTAGTCCCAGCTACTCGGGAGGCTGAGGCAGAAGGATCACTCGAGCCCAGGAGTTTGAGGTTGCTGTGAGCTAGGCTGACGCCACGGCACTCACTCTAGCCTGGACAACAAAGTGAGACTCTGTCTCAAAAAAAAAAAAAAAAAAAAAAAAGAATCTATTGATTCAAAAAGCATAAAAGCTTTTTAGTTTGATCATGTCCCATTTATTTATTTTTGTTGCTGCTGTGATTGCCTTTGGGGACTTCTTCATAAACTCTTTGCCTAGGCCAATGTCTAGGAGAGTGTTTCCAACATTTTCCTCTAGAATTCTAATAGTTTCATACCTTAGGTTTAAGTCTGTTATCCAGCGTGAGCTGATTTTTGTGAGAGGTGAAAGGTGTGGGTCCTGTTTTAGACTTCTACAAAAATAAATAAATGGGACATGATCAAACTAAAAAGCTTCTGCACAGCCAAAGAAATAGTCATGAAAGTAAACAGACAACCTACAGAATGGGAGAAAATTTTTGCATCCTACACATCCGATAAGGGGCTGATAACTAGAATATACTTAGAACTCACGAAAATTAGCAAGAAAAAATCAAATAACCCTATTAAAAAGTGGGCAAAGGACTTGAACAGAAACTTTTCTAAAGAAGACATAAGAATGGCCAACAAACATATGAAAAAATGCTCAACATCTCTAATCATCAGGGAAATGCAAATCAAAACCACAATGAGATATCACTTAACTCCAGTGAGAATGGCCTTTATCAAAAAGTCTCCAAATAACAAATGCTGGCATGGATGCGGAGAGAGAGGAACACTCCTACACTGCTGGTGGGACTGCAAACTAGTTCAACCTCTGTGGAAAGCAATATGGAGATACCTTAAAGCGATACAAGTGAATCTACCATTTGATCCAGCAATCCCATTACTGGGCATCTACTCAAAAGATCCAATGACACTCTACAAAAAAGACACCTGCACTCGAATGTTTATAGCAGCACAATTCATAATTGCAAGGCTGTGGAAACAGCCCAAGTGCCCATCAATCCAAGAATGGATTAATAAAATATGGTATATGTATAACATGGAGTACTATTCAGCTCTAAGAAACAATGGTGATATAGCACATCTTATATTTTCCTGGTTAGAGCTGGAACCCATACTACTAAGTGAAGTTTCCCAAGAATGGAAAAACAAGCACCACATATACTCACCAGCAAACTGGTATTAACTGAGCAGCACCTAAGTGGACACACAGGTACTACAGTAATAGGGTATTGGGCAGGTGGGAGGGGGGGTGGGTATATACATACAGAGTGAGATGTGCACCATCTGGGGGATGGTCATGCTGGAGACTCAGACTTGTGGGGGGAGGGGGGGAATGGGCATTTATTGAAACCTTAAAATCTGTACCCCCATAATATGCTGAAATAAAAAAAAAAGCATAAAAACCCAGACATGTTAACACTTTTAAGAAAAAATGTTATTTTTAGTCCAAGAGAAACAAAATTTTAAATTCTTTGAATTAATTTTCTAAGAGATCTAATTGTTAATTTCCTCATATAATCAAACAAAAGGCAGAACATTTATAATAGATTAAAGCTTTTAATGTATGTTATACCTTATCCAACTAAGTAAAAATGGCTGGGTGCTCTAATTATTTAAGTTATTTATAAATCTTTATTCTAAAGAAGAAAACACACCTCTTTACTGAAGAAATTGTCTACGAGTGACAGTACATAATCACTTTGGTCTTCATCCTCAGCAACTTCATATTCTGCCTGATTGGAGAGATGGGAGAAAAGAAAAATATTAGTTAAGCCAGGTGTGGTGGCACACACCTGTGATCACAGCTACTCGGGAGGCTAAGGTGGGAGGATGGCTTGAGCCCAGGAGTTTGAGGCTGCAATGAACTGTGATAACTGTGATGACACCACTGTACTCTAGCTAGGACAATAAAGACTCCATCTCTTAAAAAAAAAAGTTAAGTTTCTTCACCAATAACATTTCATAATGTTTAAAATTCTCTGACTTATGGAATTGACTTATACCCTCAAAACCAGAGACCTTGGTATACTGATCAAGTATCTACAGCTCTTCTTTGGGAAACTAAGGGCGATGAGAGTGTGAAAAAGTAGTAAAGCAATGCTTTCCATTATACTCTCCATGTCATATTATATTTTCAGCTATTAAATATGGCGAAATAAAATGGAAAAAAATAAATAGCTCGGACTAGTCTAGCAATTTAGAAATGTCCAAGAGGTCCTTGGAAAGCTGTGTCCAGAGCTACCAGGGGGAAGTCAGAGTTGGTGATACCAAAGTAGGATCATCCACACACAGGTGTCAGGTGACTGGCCCTAAAAGTGGGTGATGTTATTCAGGCCAGAAAACAGCAGAAGAGTCAGGAGCACAACCTGACCAATATCTGAATATCTGCAGAGGACACGTCAGGAAGAACTGGAAAAGAATTGGTAAGGGAAAAAGAAAACCTAAGGAGAGATCACAAAAGCCTAGATAAGAGAATTTCAAGAAGAAGCTAGTTAACAATGTCAACAGATGTGGAAACTCAAGCATAAAGAGGCCTCAAGTCTCTTTTGCAAGTAGGGGCCCTTAGAAAAGCAGATGGCAGTTGGAGAGAGAAGTGAGGGAAGCTAATATACTCTGTATCCTTCACAGGCCTGGCACAGGTTCACGACTATCAGGCTGATATGGTCAGAATGAGCTTCTCCTTCTATGTTTAAAGGCACTGTATTTACCATGGCAAATAACTAGCATACTGTTTATTTAAAGAACCTAAAGACTTAAACACTTAAAGACATAAAGACTTAAAACCTAAAGACTTAAAGACTTAAGTTCTGGCAGTTCTGGATACTGTATGGATTGCAATTAATGGAAAAGAAAGCAGTTGGATGCTGTGATGGTTTTTTTTTTTTTTTTTTTTTGAGACAGAGTCTCGCTTGTTGACCAGGCTAGAGTGAGTGCCGTGGCGTCAGCCTAGCTCACAGCAACCTCAAACTCCTGGGCTCAAGCAATTCTTCTGCCTCAGCCTCCCAAGTAGCTGGGACTACAGGCATGCGCCACCATGCCCGGCTAATTTTCTATATATATTAGTTGGCCAATTAATTTCTTTCTATTTATAGTAGAGACGGGGTCTTGCTCTTGCTCAGGCTGGTTTCGAACTCCTGACCTCGAGCAATCCGCCCGCCTCAGCCTCCCAGAGTGCTAGGATTACAGACGTGAGCCACCACGGCTGGCTGTGATGGTTTTTTGACATGCCTACTTGGCAGGCAATGATCCACAGTTACTCAGCCAAACACTACTCTAGCTGTTACTGTGATGGCATCTTTATATGTGATTAAAGTGTATAATCAGTTGACTTGAAGTAAGGTAGATTATCCTAGAAAATCACTTGAATGGTGTCAAGAGTACAGCTGAGGCCGGGCACAGTGGCTCACACCTGTAATCCTAGCACTCTGGGAGGCCGAGGCAGGCACATTGCTCGAGATCAGGAGTTCAAAACCAGCCTGAGCAAGAGCGAGACCCCACCTCTACTATAAATAGAAAGAAATTAATTGGCCAACTAACATATATAGAAAAAATTAGCTGGGCATGGTGGCGCATGCCTGTAGTCCCAGCTACTCGGGAGGCTGAGACAGCAGGATTGCTTGAGCCCAGGAATTTGAGATTGCTGTGAGCTAGGCTGACACCAAGGTACTCACTCTAGCCTGGGCAACAAAGTGACACTCTGTCTCAAAAAAAAAAAAACAACAAAAAAAGTACAGCTGAGTCTTCCACAAAGAAGAAATTTCACCTGAGAAGAGCAGCGTCATCTTATTTCTAGAGAGTTTTACCATGCCCTTCCTGAAGGTCCGTCCTATAAATTTCAGACATTCCTAGACAGACACCACAATTATGTAAGCCAATTCCTTGCAATGACTCTTTCTTACTGGTTCTGGTTCTCTGGTTGAACCCTGAACCAGAGAATAAATATATAATATAAATGTATTTTATATTTAAAATATAAGTTTATTTATTTATTTATTTATTTAGACAGAGTATCACTTTGTTGTCCAGGCTACAGTGAGTGCTGTGGTGTCCTAGCTCACCTCAATCTTCTGGGCTCAAGCGATCCTACTGCCTCAGCCTCCCGAGTAGCTGGGACTACAGGCATGTGCCACCATGCCCAGCTAATTTTTTGTATATATATTTTAGTTGGTCAATTAATTTCCTTCTATTTATAGTAGAGACGGGGTCTCGCTCTTGCTCAGGCTGGTTTCGAACTCCTGCCCTCGAGTGATCCACCTGTCTAGGCCTCCCAGAGTGCTAGGATTACAGGCGTGAGCCACCACACCCGGCCCAAAAATATAAGTATATTTTCAAAGTTAAAAAAATCCACATCAGAGAAAAAAACGAATACAAACTCAATGATTTAACACAGTCCTTTCCATTTAATAAGTGGTCAATATATATTTGCTGATAGAACTAGGACGAGCCAAAGCAGAGAGAGGAAGGGTCATAACTTTGTTCTGACAGTACAGATAACTAAAAGTAAGAGAGCTTTTCTGCTAAATTCCAATTTCCTATTGGTCACTTGCTTCTGAATTTCACAGTTGTGGAATTCTAGGCTTGCCAATGGCATCTGCAAAAATTTAGAAATGTAAATTTTCCTTACCTATAGGGAAAACACAGTAAATCTCAAACAGGATACATAAGAATGTTGGAGACTTTATAGAGCATAGTAAATTCCATCTAATATGACCATTCTTCTTACACTAACTTTATCCCTTCATATATGATTCTGGGTTTAAGGTGTTTTAAGTCTATAGCATCTGCCAGTTGAGAGCAGGAAGGATACTCTTTAGGTGGCTGAACAAGTGTATCATCTTAATTAACCTGTCCACCTTCATACAAATGAAAGCAGCATGTTTCAAAGTCATTCAGTAACTACATGTGATTCTCCAATACCTGAGATGTAATTCTATATGAAATACCACTTTATACAAAAGAGATTTCTGAACTAAGAAGATAATATGACACAAAGACAGCTAGTCTATCATGCAACCTACATCAGCGGCCAGGTCTAGTTTTTAAATTTTCAAAAGTACAAGATTGGGTAGGCAGTTCAACACTGAGGTCAATCACTTACCACTGCATCCAAGAATTCAATGCATCTCTTTAAAATAGGCTTTGTATCACAGAATTGCCTGAAGAGAGCTCTTCCTATTGGCTGCTTGTCACAAAGACTGTTATAATCCTTTTCTGGGTGGAGAAGGGGAATAAGAAGCAAACAAATATAATCGTTACAATCCACCTTACTGTTTTCACTTGATACAATAAAAGTCAAAAACGGTATGTGGTATTATTTTTTAAACTACTATTTTGTTTACTAATTTAGACTGGGTTTATCATAAACTTTTAATATACCTAGGCAAAACCAAAGATAGCTGGAAGAACTCATAAAGATACGTAAAGCCTGGGACAGGGCCAGTGGCGCAACGGATAACATGTCTGACTACAGATCGGAAGATATGTGAAGCCTGACTTGAAATGGCCTGCTCCTCTCCAGAAGGAAATACACAGGGGATTGTGATTCTTGAAGGAGCTGTGCAGGCGTGGTCACAGCAAAGGAAGAGAGGTGCAGAAAATAGGTCTGGATCTTTCCAATACTCCACCCCCCAAATGTTTGGCACAAATTGCATATATGGGAAATATACTGCAGGAATGCACTAAATTAGGTTTTTTTTTTTTTGTTTTTTTTTTTTTTTTTTTTTTTTTGAGAGAGTCTCGCTTTGTTGCCCAGGCTAGTGTGAGTGCCGTGGCGTCAGCCTAGCTCACAGCAACCTCAAACTCCTGGGCTCGAGCGATCCTTCTGTCTCAGCCTCCCGAGTAGCTGGGACTACAGGCATGCGCCACCATGCCCAGCTAATTTTTTATATATATATCAGTTGGCCAATTAGTTTCTTTCTATTTATAGTAGAGACGGGGTCTCGCTCTTGCTCAGGCTGGTTTTGAACTCCTGACCTTGAGCAATCCACCCGCCTCGGCCTCCCAGAGAGCTAGGATTACAGGCGTGAGCCACCGCGCCCGGCCTAAATTAGGTTTTTAAAAGTCTTTCCATGTTATTACTTTTCTGTACTTTCAAAAAGTTACAAATATTATAGATGCTTAATGGTTTTTAACTGCTTTTGTGTTTTTGGTTTTTTTCTTTTCAGTAGGAAATATGTTATACACCTTACTTAACCTTACCTCAAACACTAATATTGTTTTAAGAACAAGTCAATAATATTTGGTAAATGTATTAAGAGAGAGATAAAATAAAAATCTTATGTCCAAAACAGGTGAATTTAAACTTCATCAAGAAACAGCCTCTTAGCAGTGGCTCTCAACATAAAATGAACATAATTATTCCTAAGGTGACTCTAAAGATGAAGAATTAAGGCCAGGCCTGGTGGCTCATGCCTGTAATCCTAGCACTCTGGGTGTCCGAGGGGAGTTGATCGCTCAAGGTCAGGAGTTCAAGACCAGCCTGAGCAAAAGTGAGACCCCCATCTCTACTAAAAATAGAAAGAAATATTCTGGACAACTAAAAAGAAACCAAAAATTAGCTGGGCATGGTGGCACATGCCTCTAGTCCCAGCTACTTGGGAGGCTGAGGCAGGAGGATCACTTGAGCCCAGGAGTTTGAGGTTGCTGTGAGCTAGGCTCACGCCATGGCACTCTAGACCAGGAAACAGAGTGAGACTCTGTCTCAAAAAAAAAAAAAAGATTTAGAATTAAAATGAAATTCATGAAAAGCAGGTGAGCCATAACAAATCCCTCAATTGAAGGGTTTATTAATGCCCAGCAATTCTGGGAATCTAAATAGTCCTGCTCTGAATCATCAAATTTGCACATGGATTGTTGCCAGTATATTGTTTAAACAAACATCACAACAGTTCTGCAAAAACTCTACAACCTGCTTTGCCCAATTTTCCTATCACATTTTACTTTAGGGATATTTATTAACTACATTTAAAAAGAAGCCTGTTAGAAAGTTATTATTTTGAAACACTAAGAGTTATTAATACTTTCCTCCCTAATCCAAAGGTTCAGAAATGTTCCTAGTTTCTAGATGAGATGGCAGATGGAGCACACAGGTATGCCTATATTTTATCCAGATTCCTACTAAAACGACCAAATACTAACAAAACCGAAACACCAACAAAAAGCATGAAACCCTAACACAAAAAAGATTACAGGGCAACCTTGGGAGTCAGAATTTTGAGGACTGCCTGGAAGAGAAAGCTGATGGGATTGGATTATAAAAGGAAGCATCAGCTTAAGCCTCAAAGATAAGCTGGGCCTCTTCAGGAAGCTCTTTCCCAATAAATATCTAAATCAGGGAAGCCCCTCCCCAATCTGGATCAGAATGGCTAGCTGTAAGACTTTTCCTTTAAGCTGAAGCTCACTTTAAAGAAAATGGCCATCTGTCAAGAGAGATACTGGGACCTGAGAGGGAGAAAAACAACACAGCTTAAGGAACTAAAGTGCTCTTATAGCAAAGTGAAGCAATTCTGCCTGTGGCTGCTGGAACATTTGCCCTGTAAAGATGCCAGCCATAACAGGCCAGGTGGAGTAATCCTAGCACTTTAGGAGGCCAAGGCATGAGGATCATTTAAGGCCAGGCGTTTGAGATCAGCCTGAGCAAGAGCAAGATCCCGTCTCTACAAAAAATACAAAAATTAGCTGGGCATGGTGGTGTGTGCCTGTAGTTCCAGCTACTCAAGAAACTGAGGCAGGAGGATTGCTTGAGCCCAGGAGTTAGAAGTTGTAGTGAGCTATGATAATGCCAATGCACTCTGGCCTGGGAGACAGAGGGAGACCCTGTCTCAAAAACAACAACAACAACAACAAAGAAAAAACCCAAAAGCACCCCATTGGCACACTCACCTGCCAGAATGCCATTTGAGAGAGAGGACACCTGGGAAAACAGAATTATGCAACCACATGGAAAGTCATGCTGGCCACCTGCATTAACAAATGCAGCCCTTATTATAAACTTGAATAAATAACTTCAGATTTCCAGACATGTAGAAAAGCAGCAGCAGCTAAAAAAAAAAAAACCCATAAAACAAAAAGAACAGCAGAAAAACTGAACCAGGAAAAAAGAAAACAGAAAATACGTCTTTTAAAACTCTAATTGGTATCCTTTGAGATACTGAACAGACTCTTAGGAACCATCAAAAAAGAATGCAATCATAGAACTAGAGAGAGTTCTTAGAAATTAAAAAATATGATTAGTCGGCCGGGCGCGGTGGCTCACGCCTGTAATCCTAGCTCTCTGGGAGGCCGAGGTGGGTGGATCGTTTGAGCTCAGGAGTTCGAAACCAACCTGAGCAAGAGCGAGACCCCATCTCTACTATAAATAGAAAGAAATTAATTGGTCAACTAATATATATAGAAAAAAAAATTAGCTGGGCATGGTGGCGCATGCCTGTAGTCCCAGCTACTCGGGAGGCTGAGGCAGAAGGATTGCTTGAGCCCAGGAGTTTGAGGTTGCTGTGAGCTAGGCTGATGCCACGGCACTCACTCTAGCCTGGGCAACAAAGTGAGACTCTGTCTCAAAAAAAAAAAAAAAAAAAAAAAAGATTAGTCAAAAATGCTATGGGATGGGCTGAATACTTTATATGTATACAAATGCATTTATGTTGATCTGGATAATAAAGAAGAAATTTTAAATGATTTGTAAAAAGCAGACAGAAAATATGACAGAATATTTAAATGCAGTAGGTCCAGAAAGTCAAATATCTGTCTTTTAGAAGTTCAAAGGAGTAAGCCAGATAAAATGGAAGACAGACAGACAGATAGATGATAGATAGATACAGATAGATGATAGATAGATATTGACACAAACATTAATAATTCAGAAGGACATCTATATAAGCAAAGTTGGGCTTGAAAAACAATGTTTTCAAAGTTTGGGGGAGTTATGTGTAAGTAGGGGAATCATTCAATTCCATAACTATCAAATAAGAAGACAAAAAAGGGACATTTTCCAAAATCTAGCAACTCAAAAATTTTACCTTCCAGTACCTTCTTAAAAAAAATTACTTGAGGAGCTATAACAATAAAATGAGAAGGAAATCAAAGAAAGAGGACATGATAGAAACCAAGAAGGATGAACCATCTGTGTATAATCCAGAAAAAACAAAGAAAACTAGAAAAAATAAGTAACTGCATCAAAATATTTGGAAGATCATCCTTGGCAAAGTCTGAACAATGCAGAATATTTTCTTGTACATGGCTCCAAGTATACTTACTTCATTCTAGATTACATGGTATATATTAACACACACAGGCACACCTCAAGATACTGCATTCAGTTCCAGACGACTGCAACAAAAATGAACATTGTGGCCAGGCATGGTGGCTCACGCCTGTAATCCTAGCACTCTGGGAGGCTGAGGCGGGTGGATTGCTCGAGGTCAGGAGTTCGAAACCAGCCTGAGCAAGAGCGAGACCCATCTCTACTATAAATAGAAATTAGTTGACCAACTAATATATATATAAAAAATTAGCTGGGCATGGTGGCACATGCCTGTAGTCCCAGCTACTTGGGAGGCTGAGGCAGTAGGATTGCTTGAGCCCAGGAGTTTGAGGTTGCTGTGAGCTAGGCTGACGCCACGGCACTCACTTTGTAGCCTGGGCAACAAAGTGAAACTCTGTCTCCAAAAAAAAAAAAAAGAATATTGCAATAAAGCAAGTCACAGGAATTTTTTGGTTTCCCAGTGCATATAAAGGCTGTATTTACAAGATACTATAGTCTGTTAAGTATGTAATAGCATTATGCCTTAAAAAACAATGTGTATATCTTAATTTAAAAATACTTTATTCCTAAAGAACACTAGTGGTCATCTGAGCCTTAGGTGAGTTGTACCCTTTTTGCTCGTGGAAGGTCCTGCCTTGATGTTGACGGCTGCTGCTGACTGATCAGGATGGTGGTTGCTGAAGTTTGAAGTGGCTGTGGCAATTTCTTAAAATAAGAACAAGTTTGCTGCACTGACAGACTTCCTTTCATGAAAGATTCTCTGTAGCATGCGATGCTGTTTGATAACATTTTATCGACAGTAAAACGTCTTTGGAAATTAGAGTCGGTCCTCTCAACCCCTGCCACTGTTTATCAACTAAGTTTATGTAATATTCTAAATCCTTTGTTGTCATTTCAACAATTTTCATGTTAGGGCCTAAGGCCCATAGATAGCCAATAACCAGCCATTAGC